TCGCTTTCTCTTCTTGAGCTGTACTGTCCAACTTCTCCTGCCCTTGCACATCAGAGCTTCTGGTTCTTGGGCCTTTGGGCTGCAGGACTTACTCCAGTGGCTCTTGTTTCTCAGGCCTTCAGACTTGGACTGAATGATACCACTGGCTTGCCTGGTTCTCCAGCTTGCAGACAGCAGACTGTGAAAATTCTCAGCCTCCATAACCACATGAGCCAATTCCAAAAATATATCTCCTCTTCCACTTATTTATTTGCTTTTACCTATATAGCTGGTTTCCCAGAGAAACATAACCAATGACATATGTAAATAATAATAATAACAATAGATAGATACAGGTATATATATATATGTAATTGGTTCTGTTTCTCTGGAAAACCCTAATACATAGATTATTCAGTTAAATTTCAGCAAAAGAACAGTGTTTCCCAAAACAAGTTTCACAAAACACTGTCTATACATAACAACAACCAAAGAGGGTTCAAACACATGTGGGAAACCCTCAGAGAAGTTCACTGTATGACTTCTCAGAGGTTTTAATATGCCTATGTATATTATGAATCTCAAAGATGGGCATAGCAGTTTTACACAGAATTTTTAAACACATTTTGGTACAGAGCTCTTGTTTCACAGAGCATTGTGAGGAAATGCTCCTCAGAACAGACTTTGGCAAATGCTGATTTATACAAAAGAGAAGCAGCAGGACTGCCGGAGGAGGTTAAATCCAAGTCAGTGCTTTTAGGGAAAGATGCAAAAATGCGGTAACTTGCAAAAAGAAGGAACAAGGACATAGCAGGATTTTTTGGGGGGGGGGGATTTAAGAAAAAGAAAAATGCTAATAATGGAAAGTGAGGGTGGGAGAAATTCTGTGTGCATATATATTTCTTTAATGCCATACCTTTAAGCAATTACTGGAATTGGCTACACCAGGCAAAGTAAGGTCTGTTGAGAGACCTGGAGTCTTTTTCCCCCAGTTTTTATTGAGCTATAATTGGCATAAGACACTGTTCAAGTTTAAGGTGTACAATGGAATGATTTGATATATATTGTGAAATGATTACCACATAAGGTTAATTAACACATCTGTCATCTTACATAGTTACCCTTTTCTTTGCGCTGAGAACATTTATGATCTTAGTCATTTTCAAGTATACAATACAGTACTGCTAATTATAGTCACCATGTTGTACATTAGATCCCCAGAACTGATTCATCTTATAACTGGAAGTCTGTACCCTTTGATCAACATTTCCCCATTTCCCACAACCCCCAGCCCCTGACAACCACTAATCTACTCTCTTTCTGTGAATTCTGCTTTTTTAGATTTCACATATAAATGAGATCATATAGTATTTGTCTCTCTCTGACATGTTTAAGTTAGTACAATACCCTCAAGGTTCATCCATGTTGTAGCAAATGGCAGAATTTCCTTCTTTTTTATAGCTAAATAATATTCCATTGTGTATGTATACCATATCTTCTTTATCCATTCATCCACTGACCAACACTTAGGTTGTGTTTATATCTTGGCTACTGTGAATAATGCTGCAATGAACATGAGAGTGCAGATATCTCTTTGAGACAGTGATTTCACCTCCTTCAGATATATACCCAGAAGGGGGATTGCTAGATTATATGGTAGTTGAATTTGTAATTTTTTGAGGAACCTCCATACTATCTTCTGTAGTGGCTGTATCAATTTACATTCCTACCAACAGCGCACAAGAGTTCCCTTTTCTCCATGGCCTAGCCAGCACTTGTTATCTCTTGCTTTCTTGTTTGTTTGTTTGTTTGTTTTCTCATAACAGCCATTCTAACAGGTGTGAGGTGATAGCTCATTGTGGTTTTGATTTGCATTTTCCTGACTAGTGATGTTCAGCACCTTTTCATGCACCTGTTAGTCATTTGGGTGTCTTCCTTGGAAAAATGTTTATTCAAGTCCTTTAACCATTTTTTAACTGCTGTTTTTCTATTGAGTTGTATGCATTCCTTACATATTTGGGATATAACAGATTTATGGGTTGCCAGTAATTTCTCCCTTTCTTATGCTGCCTTTTCATTTTGTCGATGGTTTTCTTTGCTGTGCAGGAACTTCTTAATTTGATGAAGTCTCATTTGTTTATTTTTGCTTTGTGCTTTTGGTGTCATATCCAAAGAGCCAGTGCCCAAACCAATGAGAGGAGCTTTTTCTCTGTTTTTTCCTAAGAGTTTTATGGTTTTAGGTCTTAACATTAAGTCTCTAATCCATTTTGAGTTAAATTTTCTGAGTAGTGTAAGACAGGAGTCCAATTCATTCTTTTGCATGTGAATGTCCAGTTATTCTAACACTGTTTATTGAAAGACTATCATTTTTCTTTCTGATTGGGATACCTTTTATTTCTTTGTCTTGCCTGATTGCTCTGGCTAGGACTTGCAGTACTATGTTCAAAAGTAATAGTGAAAGTGGACACATTTGTCTTCTTCCTGGGCTCAGAGGAAAAGCTTTCAGCCTTTCACCACTGAATATGGCATTAGCTGTGGGTTTGCCACACAGGGCTTTTATCATGTTGAGGTATGATTCTTCTGTACTCAATTTATTGTGAGTTTTTATCATGAAAGGATGTTGAATTTTGTCAAACACTTTTTCTGCATCCATTGAAGGGATCCTATGATTTTTATCCTCCATTCTATTAACATGATGCATCACATTTATTGATTTGATTATCTTGAAGCACCCTTGCATCCCAAGGATAAATCCCATTTAATCATGGTTTATGGTCCTTTTACCAGATCATATTGTACCAGATCATACATAGACTGCTTGCTAGTATTGTGTTGAGAATTTTTATATCAATATTTATCAGGAATATTGGCCTATAGTTTTCTTGTAGCATGCTTATCTGACTTTGGTATCAGGGTAATGCTGGCCTTGTTAAAATAAGTTTGGGAGTGTTTCCTCCTCTTCAAGTTTTTGGGAGAGCTTGAGAAAGACTGATATTTATTCTTCTCTGAATGTTTGGTAGAAATCACCAGTGAAATCATCTGGTCATGGGCTTTTCTTTGTTAGGAGATTTTTTTTTAATTACTGCTTCACTATTCTTAATCATTATTGGTCTATTCAAATTTTCTGCTTCTTAATTCAGTCTTAGTAGTTTGTATGTTTCAAGGAATTTATCCATTTCTTCTGAGTTATCCAATTTGTTGGCAATTTGTTGTTCATAGTGGCCTCTTATAATCATTTGTATTTCTGAGGTAAGTTGTAATGTCTCCTCTTTCATTTATAATTTTGATCTTGGTTAGTCTAGCTAAAGGTTTGTCAATTTTGTTTATCTTTTCAAAAAAGCCAACTCTTAATTTCATTGTTTTTTTTTCCTGTTGTCTTTCTAGTCTCTATTTCATTTATCTCTGCTCTAATCTTTATTATTTCCTTCCTTCTGCTAACTTTGAGCTTAGTTTGATCTTCTTTTTCTAATTCTTTGATGTGTAAAGTGAGGCTGTTAGGAGACCTGGCGTCTTAAATCAGACAAAGGACACAAGCCATACTCAAGGGAACTAAATGAGGAACTTTAATAGTGTCTAGGGAACACCACACAAACTCGTTACTGACAAAAGAACATTAGGCATGAACTAGCACTGCCCACTGCCTAAGACAACTATGGATGGAGCTTCTAGGAAATCTGGCAGGAGGCCTAATAAAAATGGAGCTGTGGGGTGCAAGACAAATTTAATTTAACTTGGTTTTAAATGCCAAAGACTAGGCCCTGCAGAAAGGAGAAGTGAGGAAACGAATATAGAATTTTTGTTTACAAGTTGTTCAATCCCCTACCCAACAAACACATCTTCAGCTATAGAGTGCTTTTGCTCTTGCCAACCTCTCTGCCTCGAGGACTTCCCCCAACTCTACTATTTTTTATTTCTTTAGCTCTTACCTGTCCTTCAAAATTTAGCTCAAGCATCTTCCCCTTTAGGAAGTGTTCTCCAAAGCTGCAGTTTGACATGCTTGCTTTCAGGACACCCTTTAAGAAATTAATAATTATCATATACCTACCACCTGGCAGGCACCTGATGCAGTCCTCCTTCATAACACCTACTTGCACCGCAGGAAGATCATTTTCATTGACCTATCTTCATTTTTTTACCCTGTACCCCCACCCATCCCAGAGCCTAGTCACTGCATCTGGGTATCTTTGGTGAGTGACTTGAAGCTCCTATGAAGTACCAAGTGCTAAAGATCAAAATGATTCAGAAGTTGCTCCTGCCCTCAGGGACCTCATGAACTACAGAGAAAAGAGGAGATAAACAGTTACAGCTCATGATAGGATGAAATATGCAGTACATAATGGCACAGGCAAAGGAAGCTTCTGAGCTTTCTGGTAAAGAAGAGATTGTATGCACAGCCTTCGTACAGAAAAACTTGTTTGGTGCACTGAACGTGTCTTGCAATAAGCTCATCAAACATGTACATTGGCCTTACAAATAGCCTGCACACCCCTCACCATTGAGCTCAGTGAGGAGGAGTGCTTTTGCATTTCATTGCTTTCTTTATAGAGCTAAACTGCGTTTTAGAAGCTAGGTATTGTTCCATTCATGTGGCTGTCTTGACAAAGACAAAATTCAGACCAAAGAATGAGAGAGAGAGGCCAAAAGAAAATGCATGGCGTCCGCAGTCTTAAACTGCAATTCTGTGTAGGTGTTGCAATCATTCTATTATTGACCTTCAAGCAGCTGGTTCGGTTGGAAATCAAGTTTATGAACAGAACTGCTGTAACCATAAAGAACTTTCCCCCCGTGATTAAGCACTAAAATAACAGGTGTTAAATAAATACAAAGGAAAGAGTGAGGCTTTGGAAAGCCAGTCTGTCTCTATCAGGGTTTGAAAAGGGAAGCCAAATGACTGTCTGAGAGTGGGTGGGGAAGAGTCAGACTTCACTAGGTGGTGGTGTTCTGACTTCTGTTCTCAGTCCCTGATGACGCTCACCCAGCAAGTTCCTTCCAAAAGGGCACAGGCAAAATAGGAAAAGTACCTCCGCAGTTCATTCATAACCTTGAACGCCTTTCCCATGTGGGCAGGGTTGACAGTGATCGTCCTCTGGTTCTTTTCATCATCCCCAGCTTGTATCGGGGGCTGGGAGCTCGGCTTGATGCTGTGAACAGGGAGGGAGTGGGAGGGGAAAGAGAAGATCACATGTTGGTAAACTCATTCATCCTACTGCCACAAGTCCACACATTTGCCCACCCACCAGGGCATCCCTGTCAGCCTGTTCTCTTTACCACACACCCAGCGAGAAGGGAAATCACTGGGTCAGGAATTTCATCAGGATCTTCCAATGTAAAGTGCATCTCTCAGATCCTAGCTCAGCTTCCTCCACCAAGCACTGGTGTGACTCTGTGGGTGGTTCTTATCCTCCATCTCTCCATCTCTAAAAGGCTCAGGTGGGAGAGGGGAGACTAAACATGACAACACTCACTGCACAAACATTTAATGGAGCCTACTATGTGCCAAGCTCTGTATTTCAATTTATGGGAAACACAACAATAAATAATGCATAGACCTGACTTAAGAGTTCAGGGAAGGAGAAAGCTAAGTAAACAATGAAACATCATATCGTAACTATTATGATTTGATTGGAGTTATAGAAGCACAGGGGACAAGCAACTATCTCAGTACTGGCAGGCTAAGGAAAAACTTCCTAGAAGCTGAGGAAGAACAAAAATCTTAAAGAAGAGCAGGGAAGGAGGCTATAGCTCAGTGGAAGCATGCATGCTTAGCATGCAGGAGGTCTTGGGTTCAATCCCCAGTCTCTCCATAAGCAAACAAACAAACCTAATTACCACCCCCCCCCAAAAAAACAATAAATGAAAAAAAAAAGAATTCCTTATAAAAAAGAAGAAAAGAAGGGCAGAAATTAGCTAGATGAAAAAGGAAGATGGAGAGTATTCCAGCAGAGGAAACAATGTGAACAAAGTGTGTTCAAAGTACTGGAAGTTCAGCAAAACTAAAGGAGAGTCATGAGAAAAGGCTAGAGGGCTGAGCAGTCTTGTAAGTGTCATGTTAACAAAGCTAAGGAGTTTGGACTAGATTCTAAAACAATGAGAAGCAAAGAAGTAGAGCAGGAAGCAGGTGAACACATTTGTGCTTTAGAAAGACACACTGGCTACAGCCTGGAGAGCAGAGGCACAAAGCTTTTGGGAAACCATAATCCCATAGAAAGATAAGGGATTGTAGTTGTTATAAAAAGAAAGACTATCTATGGGCTAAACGAGCAGGTGGTAACTGGCAAGAGTCACTCATCATCTCAAAACCCTCTATACCTTAGACAAAACACCCAATTCCTATGGGATGCCAGCTAGATGCCCAGTTACACCTGAGTAACATCTCAGTGTGGTGGTGGTGTGGGAAAGAAGAATCAAAAAAAGATGAGCAAGGAAAGGACTTTCTCCCCAAAGTGATAAAACTAATCAGTTCCAGGTCAAGTCTGGGACCTTGGAGTAACCACTGTTTGGATCAGGATAAGCTTTGCTTCGCTAGAGAAAAAGAGAACCTTCTCCACTTATGTAGATTTGGAGCCCCACAATTCACTGTAACTCTCAAGACACTGACAGTAGTTTCCCTTGTCTTTCCCTAGTGGGCCTCTGTTGATGCTAACACCTAGCCTTTCAAACTGGCTCAAGACAGGGGCTGCTGAAGTTAAGAGAAAGTTCTAGGGACCTGAGAGTCTCTACAGATCTCACTCTGGGATGTGTAACTCTTGGAACATTCCATACAGCCAGCATGCCAGACCCACAGCTTGTCTGACCACAAAAGATTCCTCTTTTGGTTTCCTTCCCACTTTCACTTCAGCATGCAAACGTCAGCCACAGACATCTGAACTTTGGGACCGTCTAGATTCTGAGTGCAAAGAAGTTAGCTGAGCACAGAAGGATAAATATCAAGAGATGCAGATGATTAGAGTCATGTGCTTGAAAAGGTGAAGAAAATCTCAAACAAGAGAATGTTATCAAGGTGGGGAGCACCCAGTAAAGATGAAAAACTTCACATTAAAAATCCTGCAAGCATAATTTCTTTTATAGTTAAGTGTCCATCCCTACTCCATGCCAGACAATATAAATTTCTATTTTATAGCAAAAGTTTAATATTTTGCTTTTGATATTTAAGCCCTTATTTTATCTGTTGGTTTTTATGGCACTATATGAAATATGGATCTAATTTTTCCCATAAGTTCCACTTATTGAATACTTCTGCTTTTTCCAATTCACCTGTTATGCCACATTTAGTCATATATCGAAGTTCCAAATATACAGGGATCTATTTCAGGACTCTGACCTATTCTATTGGTCAGTTTATCTGTCTCTGTACCAGGAACCACATTACTTCTGTAGCTTCATAATAAGGCCTAATATCTGATAGGGCAAGTCCCCTATCCTATGACTATACTTCAGATGTGTCTTGGCTATTCTCGTTTCTTTACTCTTTTATATAAATTTTAGTACAAGTTCCATGAAGACTCTTAGGGAACTCTGATAGAAATTACATTGAATTTATAGATCAATTTGGATAAAACTGACATCTTTCTATGCCTTCTTACCCATAAGCATGGACTATCTCTCCATTTATTTAGGTCTCCTTTAGTGTCATTCAAACTTTCATATTTTTCTGTATGAAGATCTTACACATATTTGATTAAATTTATTAAGTATCATATAATTTTGTTGCTATTTTATCATAGCAATGGTGTCTTTCTTTGTTTTGTTTTCTGATTCTTATGGTTTATAAGCATTGATTTTATACCATGCCGCCTTATCAAACGTTCCTATTATTTCTAACTATATTTGTCTGAAGAGTCAGCTAGATGTTCTATGTATAACAATCATATTACCTGCATATAACGCCAAGAGTTCTCTCTTCCTTCCACTTCTTAGGCCTCTAATTTCTTTTTTTTTTAATTTTTGGTGGGGGTGGTAATTAGGTATTTATTTATTTTAATGGAGGTACTGGGGCTTGAACCCAGGACCTCGTGCATGATAGGCACACACTCTACTGTTGAACTATACTCTCCGCCTTCTACTTTGTATTTCTGAAAGAAATTTTGCACTGGCCCACAGAATGCTGAACATAAAGTATGCTAATAAATATTCTTGAGATCTTCCTGATTTTTTTTAAAAACGTATTTCTAATGTTTCCCCATTGTGTATGTTTATTTTAGGATTTTTGTAGATGCCCTTTATCAAAGTAGGAAAACTCCCTTGTATTTTTTTTTAATCATAAAGTTATACTGAAATTTATCCAACGTTTTTGTGGATCTAATGAGATGATCATATGGATTTTTCCCTTTAATCATTTAATGTGGTATATGACACATACATTTTCTAACACTAAACTATACTTTGCATTCCTGGAGTAAATACAGAAACTGCAAAACACTGCACAAATAGTTCATTATAAGTGTCTTCAAATTGTAGAGAGACTTAAAAGCCAGGAAAAGAAAATATAATCTAGTATCGATCAGGGAAGATTTTTGACAGGGAACTAATAAGATTAGAGCTCATAAAAGTCCAGGGGACAGATGTTATTAGGCCCATTTTACATACATGGAACAGATGTAGACCAAACAGAACCATTTTGGAAGCACTGACAACAATCTCCACTGTGGCTAGTAAACAGGGAAGCTTGCTCTTCCTTGTGTGTTGCTCTTGGCACTTTCCAGCCTTCCAGAATGGTCCAATAATGATGCATCTGTGTTAACACAATCTTGTGTTTACCAAAAGGCCTCAAATAGAGATTGCCTATTATCAGGATTAAAGTTCAACAAAATGCAATTCACACTAAAGCTTTCCTCAAAGAATGACTTGCTGATGACCATCGAGCTGGCTAGAAAAAGGACACATAGTTTCCTCCTTCCAACCAAAGTCTTTTCCACCCTTCATGCAGCAGCAAGGTTTGATTAGAGAAGGAACCCAAGATCTCTTTTCTTCCCCCTACTTTGCTCCTCTGTGAAGATTCGGCAAGTCTGGAGGAGATTCTGGGTTCCTGGTTTCTGGAAGGTAGAAGCTACTTGGCAACTTGTTGACCCTCCAGAAAGCAGGAAGTTAAGGAAAGAGAGGGTCTGAGGACTCAAAAAATTCAGAATCTGGCACAAGGTCATACAGATAACAAGTGACAGAGACAGCATCTGAGCTCAGGTATATGTGACTTAAAGCCCAAGCTATTTCCACTAGAGCTTACACCCTGCAACAATATAGTTACATACACACACACACACACACACACACACACACACACACACACAGAGCCACAAGATGTTTTCTGCTGAAAAGCATTTATCAGTAAATGCCATTACTCTAAGCACAAAATGATTGACTTCTCCAAGAGCCAAAGATGCTCCAGATTTGACCTACCCTTTATCCCCCAACTAGGCCTGCCCTATTAAAACCATGCCAGGCTTCAGGAACTACCACCCAGCCCAGCTGAGGTGATTTAGCCTTCAGGGTTTCATGATCTGTCAAGAGGCACGAAGCCTACCAAATTCTCTCCACAGCTGACATTGATTTATATATGCCCCTCTCCCAGACCTGAAGCTCTGGTTGCTGAACAAAGGAACCTTCATCAGTGCTCAGATGTCCAGAGTTTCAGTAACATTCAAGGTGAACAACATTTAAGATTCAAATGGTCACCAATAATAGATATGGTGAGAAAGTACAGACCAGGCAGGATCCTTGTTCTTTCCTGTAGCATAACACAAGAATAGGCACTCACATTGGATGGACATGTAAGATATCCTTTCAAAGGACTCTGTAGTTAAAAAGGTGAAAGACCAGTCTAGGGGATAAAGTTATGATTCTTGCTCAGTATTTGAGGTCCTCCTTGACATGGACTGAATCTAAATGCTAGCCTTCTCTCTCACTTACTCAAATATTTACTGAGTTCTTACTATGTACTGAGCAGATAAACCATCTACTACAGACAGATTCCCCCTTCTTTTTCCTGCAATATCATAATCTAAATATCTGTTCTTACAGGACCACTTAAGTTTGGCCTCCTCTATGAAGCCTTTTGAATATTCAGTCCTAAGTGATCTCTGCCTTCCCTAAACTGCTATAGTATATCTGGCCTGTAACTCAACTGGCACATAGAATACTGACCTCT